CCTCTCTTGAGCTGACTTATAGCGCAGGAACAGAAAATAAATAATGTACCAGTAAGACATGGCAGAGGAAGCAAGCACTTCGGGAAAAAGAGGGCAGGGAGGAGATGCAGAATCCAGTGAGGGGGATTGTGGTTTCATAAAGTGTGATGAGGGTGAGCCTCTCTATCATGAAAAAAGAATCAAAATAGAAGAATTCAGCATTCGTTGTTCATTTAATAAATACTTAGTAGCAACTAATATGCCAAGCTGAAGACACAAATTTAAAATAATCCAGTATAAGAATGGATAGGTTGCAATGGATTAGTTTCAACTTTTGTTCATGTTGAAGCCAAGCTTCACTTTTCACCATCTCCACACAAAAGTTGTTACGTTCATCACTAATTGGGCCTAACTCAGCTTGACAGCTAAGGGTGAAACACAGACGTCCTCTATCCTGTCTCACTGACTCCCCGAAGGCATCTAGGAGGTAGGGCTCACTTTTCCATACTAGGCAATGTTGGATCAGCTATGGTTAGGAGGCCAAACGGGCAAGGCCGAGGTTCAGTAAGGAAGCAGGCTGGGCCAGGTTGGGTGTGTAACTCAGCAGAAGAGCACTTGCCCAGTGAGCAGCAGGGCCTGGTTTGGTCCCCAGCATAATAGATCAACAGGACTCTGTGGCCTGGGCTCGTCCTACTACGCACAAGGTCGCCGCGGTGATCTTGAGCCTAGAGAATCTCCTAGAAGGGAGCCTCACCATTCTGGCCCCGGGTGAGGATTCTGTAGGGTACCTGTGCCCATGCTGTTCTTCCAACTGTGCCCAGGACGCCTTGTCGGGGGAAGGGACTCTGAAGAAAGCAGTGATTTGTACCTGTTTCTATCAGCTTTTGACAACCCATACTTATTTTTCCTTAGATCCAGAAGGGGAGATAAAAATGATCAGTGAACAACTTGTGTCAGGCCCTAACCACTGTGCAGAAAAACGCCCACCATAAAATATTCTGAATCTCTGAACAGCTCAAAGTATTAACTAGACACCATTTAGAAATTGTTGAAAATTTCTGACTTACCACCCCAAATTTAACAGATGCAATAAATCAGCAGCTTTCAAAAATATTTGGGTAATTTCTAATTTTGAAAAACTGTGTATCTTGTACATTTTGACAATGGCATCAAAATTTTCCTTTCATATATATGTTTAAATAATTCCAAAGAATGTAATTTTCAGCATGTTATAAAATTGGACATTTAAAAATAAAATTTTAACACCAATAAGTATTTAGCCCTTCTTGTATGCCTTTTAAAATGTGCTTTTGATAAGTTCTTTCTATTGAAAATTTTAATTTTTCCATTTTTTATTTAAACCTTTATCCATTTCATTTCTGCCTTAGAATATTATCTTTATTATTATATTGGAAAGTAAGTGCTTATTATCTTGCCATACTTCTTCAAAACAACAAAAAACTTTGATATATATTTTTTAATTTCTGTGATAATTAGGATCAAGAATTTACTTTAAAACGACCTGGATACAGTTTTCATCCAATTAATAATACTCTATTTCAAATTCTGATACGTATTCATCTTACAATACAAGATTTTCTTACAAACCTCTCTGCAGGACATCAGTGAGGGTTTTGTTTGTTTTGCAGTAGATTCGGGTATCCATGGATATATGTTATTTCTGAATACAGTGAGGTAGGCTTTGTTTCAGCTCCATTCCATTTTAATCTTTTAGTAAGGATATTTACTGAAAAAACATTTTCACATAAGTATCTAGGAATGCAACAGATTGTGTTATAGTGATGTTTACTTCTTTGAACTACAGGGTGAATTGAGTGAGAACAATTACACAAGGATCTATCTCCTACAGCTAATGTTAGTGACTTGTCTGTCAGCTTATAACTTTCCTTAGCTTACCACTTATATAAATACATGTGGAAGTATTACACTTACATATATAATGTGCTACATATATACATATATATTCCATATTCCATGTGTAACCTGTCTTACTTCGTGAAGACCACTGTCCTAAAATTTCCTTTGCATCAAAATTGAGCATTTAACTTTTGTATAAAACTATACTGAAGTAGAGAAGCTTGTACCCTACATGACTTAACAGGGTAGAGATAAACTTATGTGTTAAATAACTATTAGTATTTGTGGCAATGATTTTCCTCATTTTTTTTCCAACAGAATATTTAAAGAAATTAAATGTTACCAGCCTAAAACTAAAATTTGAGCTATTTTAAATTACATTTTATTTATAAAGGATATTATTTAAGTTCTCTCTAATCATATCACAGTGTTGTACTTTTTGTTTTTTTCTTTTGAGATGGCTTCTCCCTAAGTTGCCCAAGCTGGGCTCAAAATAGAAATCCTCCTGCCTCAGCCTTCCAGAGTGCTGGGACTATTTTTATTTATTTATTTAGCACATGTTTGCAGCACATAATGATTACACTTTTCATGGGGGAATTTGATGTAAACATAACACAAATTCTTTCTTCATCACCTTCCCCTGCCTCCTTCTCTGCTCTGTCCAAATTTTGTTCTCCTTCTGATTTGCAATAGCTCAATTTCCTCCTTTCTCTTCATTTCTCTTTTTTCATCCTCTTTAAATCTATTTTGTTATTAATGAGTTATTTCTTTGCTGCTTAAAGTGCCCATTCCTCTACGGGGAGGGAAATTCTTAATTCAAATTTGTATCCTGTTTCAAACTTATAACCTGCTATCAGTGAACCTGGTCAATACAAACACACTTTCTATGTGTGATGTCCACCACAGGCATTGGATGCTGCAGAATTTGTACAAAAAGACACCATACTGGATCTAGAACAACTTTTGTTTGTGTGTTGTACCGTGTTTTGTTTTGTTTTGTTTTGTTTGTAGTATTTGGGACCCAAATCCAAGGGCCTCCCACATGCGAACCAAGTTTCCACCACTGAGCTACTTTACAGCCCTAGAACAATGTTAATGTTTTGATTTCACTTGAAGCATGGTCCCAAGCTATGTTCTGTTTCTGTTTTCAGACCCGTCAGTAACAGGACTGTGTCTTTATCATCTGGAAACTCCATTTGTGAGAGGATCCACTACTTCCGATAGAAAGGAGGTGTTTCTCCCTCCCAGTACATACTGTAGTTTGTAAGGAATGTAAAGCAATTCCAAGTACCAGGTCAGGGGCACCACTGTAAGTCTATTTAAAATTGCATAAGCATCACATAATGTGTCATCTCAGCTGGCTTGGCTCGTCAATTTATCAGGTAATTGTCCCCTTTTTATTTGTTGTTGAGTTTCTCTGGATAAACTAGGGCTCTAAAATATGATAGATCTTACCTACAGCACCGTATATACTTAGAATTCTACCTCAACGAGACTCATTTGGCACAAAACTACTTATGAGCCCCAACTCAGGCGATTTAGCACAGGTTTCTGATTACACCTAAAGAAGCTATGTAACAACTAAAGCATTACATTTGTGCATAATTTTTCTTTAACAATCTTATTTCTAGATGTGCTGGGGACAGTGAAGGTAAACAGAGTTTGCTGCAATCAGGTGCTTATGGCTGTAACTTGGGTACAGATGAGAAGGATCCTGAACTCTCAGCTATGGTCTTCCGGAAAGGGGGTCAAGAGAGCTTAGTTTGAACTCTGATGGCAATGTCAGAGTTGTAGCAGAAGAGCCCAAAATGTGCCTGCCTGGTGTGGCTGTAATTCCTACCATCAAGACAGCAGGGAGTAATTATATTCCTACACACACCTAGAAAAATGCCTAGGGGTGCAGTACAGCCTGTGCTGCTATGTCATTTTCTGTTCTCCAAGTACAGTCAGAAAAGAGTTTAAAAACCATTCCTCAGTGGATTCTTTTCTTAGCAATTGGCCAATCTGAAAATAACGAAAGGAGTTCTATCTTACTGCTCAGAATTCAGTTGTTTGATTAAATTTAGCCCACCTGCCTTCATACCAGTGGAGATACTGCTTAAATGTCCTGTGAATGAATACATTTGAGGAGCTGGCTTAATGCATAATCAAATGCTGAGGAGACTTTTGGCTTCAGAAAATGAAGACTATAGAATTACCCTGTTCTTTGCTGGGCCCAATTAACTGGGCAGATTCTTTGCATTCAGCTAGAAGCCTCTTCACTCCTGCCTTTTAGCTAAGGTTTCCTCTCCTTTCCCAGCAGCTGGAACTCTATCTCCTGGCACAACAGAAACCAAGCGTGAACCCCAGGCAACCCGAGCTCAGCAGACCTTAGCGCCAGCCCCAAAATATTGAGGTGCAGCACCACTGGCTTCACTCTTTTCCCTTTCATGGTCTGGGAAAGGAAGTGGAGGAAGGGGGTCAGGCTGTCATGCAACGCTAGCATTGAGTCAAGCATTGCCCGGCACTCCTGAAACTCTCTAGCTTCTAAGTTGAGAGTAAAAGCGAAAGGAACACAGGATGGAAACTAGTGGCTAGGAAAGATCCCAGGATCACGGCGGGGTCACAGGGCCATCTCAGACTTGCACTCCGAAAGTCCCCAGTACTTCCCCAGCCCCGAGAGCCAACAACCCGGCCTCGGTCCTGGCGATTGGTAGTGATTGCTAAGATTGTACTCCGCAGGTTTCTCAAGGACTCCAACACACACGCACACAAAACACACACACACACGCATTCACTTTGCACCGAGTGTGACTTTTTTTGAACCAGGGAATGAACTCAGGATCTTGCACTTGAAAGACAGGCACGGTACCACTGAGCTATAACCCCAGTCCAAGAGTGACATTCTCTAAAGCTGTTTTCCGTGCACTGCAACCCCAGCCCTCAGAACTGACCCCAGCATCTCCCATTCAGGTTTTCTGTGCACAGGCAAGGCCACCCACTATGGGACAGAAAGATCTGCTCAGGAGTGAGGAAGGCATAGATACAGAGCCGGCTCCTCAGAGTTTTCCACTTGTGGAGAGGAAACCCAGCATGTCTCAGAACCTCCTGATGCACCTTAGGAATTCACCAAAGCTTCTGGCCTGGTTTTCGCTTGGGGCAAGAAATGGATGCCCTTGTTTTGCTCCCCGCTGAGAAGAACTAGCCTGCCCCAAAGTGCAAACAACCAATCTATGGAAACTGGAGGGCTCGGCTTTGTTTTCCTTTTTTGTTAAAGTCCTGAATGAGGTGATATTCTACTGCTGCTTAGGCTGAGGAGCAGGTCCGTCTGGTTCCTGGGTGCTCTGTTACACAAGCCAGCCAGCCAGCCAGCCCCACCTAATTTGGCTTCTCTGCACCCCGCTGCTCAGAGCCACACTGTGACACTTAACCCATTTCTTCTCTCTTCTGCACCAACCAAGACAACCAGGACAGTCCAGTTCCATCTAGAAACACCTGCTAGTCCTGAAGGTAAGCATGTGTCTGCTGGGTTACTTAGAGCCGTGTCTCTCTCTCTCTCTCTCTCTCTCTCTCTCTCTCTCTCTCCCCTCTCCTCAGTTACCAAAGACAATCAAAGTAGCCTCAACCCTTGATAGAACTGTCTGGCAAGTAGCTACAGAGACCCTGGTAAAAAGAGATTGCTGTTCATTAAGTAATTGCCTTCTAAATGAGTATTTGTGCTGCTAAATGAGTTAACTTTAAGAATTACTGCCACAGTCGCTAGATGATAAAAGTTGCAGAAGAGTTACATGAAAGCCTTATTTAAAATTTATGCGACTACAATATAGAATTTCCCAGAGACAGGCTGTCAGAAAGGTATCAAACTGTTTAGAGTGGAAAGTATTTAATATAAATTTAATACTTAGATCTAAATTATGCTTTTGGGCTTAAAGCTTCTTATTTTAAGTATTAGAATATAAGAGAGTTCTTTTTTTAAAAAAAAGAATACCCACTTAAAATGAATTACAAGCTTGTGTACATCTTTTTCAAAGATTGTTTCAATAAGAAAAATGTTGTGCACATAATTAATTTCTTAGCATGGTAAGTGTTCAAGTCCAACACTCACAGGAATTTACAATGCTGAATCAGTTACTGCAAAAGATATCCATGGAACGAAGATGTGGACAGCTTCCCGAGGTTACTACGTTCAGCTTATGAATGCAGAAGGCTCCTTTCTTTAAAGTTTTGCTAATTCCTCATTTATCCACTTTCAATTTGACCCAGAGAGGCTGTTCATACAGACTGGGAAACAAGAGACAGCTGAACTCTCCTGCGAGGGAACTTAGACCCAGCACATTTTTCAGAGGCCCATTCCTTTCAAGCTTGATTGTCACCCACCAATTTATGACTCAGAATCGCCTCAGCCAGCAGGTAGTACTGCATTTTGTTTGTTTTTCCTGGATTCTGCATATCTAAGTCTTCTAGTTAGAATGATATTCGCAAATGTTTTGAAATTGTTTCTTTTTTTCCTGAAGGAAAGTCATTCTTTCCTTTTCCTTGTGTTTTTAATCAAAGAAAAGTGAAATGATAGACTTTTTCAGGTACAATCAGACTTTCTGGATTCTCACCTTTTGAAATCCTTTTATTAGAGCCACATTTTTAGAAATATAATTCTTTTATGCCCTCACTTCTCGTGATTCTTTCAGGTACAGAAAGCAAAATACTGTCCAAGAGTGGAGAGGCCGTTCAGAATGTTATCTCTAGTATTCAGGGTCTGCTCAGGGTGTTACCATGGCAGACTGGGATTTCTGCAATAAACAACAACAACAACAATGCAAACAAACAATCAGCCTGCAGTGTGTAACAAGAAATGATCAAAAGGAACTGGGAGACAATGTATGCACATTAACCATTTCAATTATAGAGCTGTGCTTACAGTATCCGCTCAGAATAACTGAACTGGTGTTTATTTAAAATTTCTGTTTGATATGGTTTTGAATGACCATCATTTCTTTCTCCTTGGATGGCCTGATTGCCTGTCAGGAATTAGGGGAACTCCTTGTTCTCAAAACTTGGTAAAAAACTGGTATGACTCAGTTAGAACAGGGAGGATGGGCAGAATGACGGCCTTTTGCATCTAAAAGGAAGAAAATTACATCTGGATGCAGGTTTGTGTCCTTTGTGGCCAGTGTCTGTTCTCCTGCATCAGCTCCTGCAGCCCTCCACACAAAAGCGGGAATGAGAAACCACCCTCAGCACCAACACCAAAGAAAGGGGAGAAAACAGTATTCATTCTCTCTGTGTAGGCTTGTTTAAAAAGCAAAACTCACTCATTTTGAGAGTCTTTGTTAAAAGTTCTTAAATATTAAAAAGCAGCAGAAATACATATATATATATATATATATGAACATTTAGAATCTGTATTTCAGATTTCAGAAAGTAGGTGAAAATCCTCTTTCTTCTTTTCTGTCCTCTTTATGATAATTCTACCTTTTTTAACTTTGTCTTGTATTAGTACATATTTGTCATACATATTGATCACATTCATCATAGGGAATTTGTACCCGTACGTAATTCCAGAAGTGTCTGAATTTCTGATGTTCCTAGCTGTGTAACTATGTTACAGCTCCAGAATTCCTCTGGGGCTTACACCCCCTAATTGCTACCTCTTAGGAATAAGAAGAGGCAAACAGCAGGAGGAAAACTGATGCCTCCTGTCTTTCTCTCCCTCTAAAATTACACTTTCTCTCCACCTTCTGTCTGTATACACGGGGCACTTAACTGACAGGAATTTGGGCATTCTCAAGCCTGCCATTCGTAATCCACCCTAATTTCAACTTTCTATAATGGATATACAACACTATTTGATATCTGAACTTTAGAGGAGTAGAGAAGCTGAAGAGAACCTGCAAAGAGAAAAAAATACATAGGTTTCATTTACTGCCCTCTGGGCCTTCTGAACCACTGCATTAGCTTTTGCTATTGATAATATGTTTTGTTCAATTCAGGATGAAGACCCACTTCATCCACATTACTTGGTCCTTTCTCCTACAAAATTTCAAAGCCACAGTTCTGAATTGCTGATGGCTTCAGCCAGTGGCTGCTTCTCCCCCCATAGATGAAAGGTGCCCCGGGGAAGGGGTATAAGGGTCTCTACAGCCAAGTCAGGACGGTGGGAGTGAGTTAGCCTCCCCAAAGCCCTGTCCAGGGCTGCACTAATTTCTGCATAAGCAGTAAACACTATTCAAATGTACTGCTGTATCCCTTAGCTTCCTTTCTTTGTTTTTCTCAGGAGATAAGTTATAGGCAGTCATAGAATGCTTGGCACATTTGGGGCACATTTGGGAGGTTTTCAAATTACAGTCAAAAGCAAGGCAGAAGCATAAGAAATCCCCTGTGTAATTCAGTGTTGCAGGCGGGGTCAAGCAGGAACAATAGAGCTCACTTTGTTGGATCTGGGGTGTGGATTCTCCTTACTGTTAAGCAGTGAAAAAACAATGCCATGTTCCTCATGTGACACTGAAAAGAAACCTAGAAGGAAGGACTCTTTTTTCTTTTATGATGAGCACTCTTCAGGAAAAGAAAATAAAGTGCCTAGATTCAGGGAGAGCAAATCAAACTGCACAACATAGAAAAAGAGTGACCAAATATTACTCAGAAAGCAGAGCACTGGTGAAGGACAAAGCAAAAGGTGGCCATGTTTGTGAGGAGCTCTGGAGTTCAGCAGAGAAAGGAATTTCTGAAAAAGCGCACACACCCCTCCTGGTGCTACAGTGCGCCGTGTGTTCCATGTGCTAGGGTGGTGTCCACCTAAATGAAGCGTTGGTCAATCATACATCCTGCATAAGCATTGTGATTTGTTAATATTAATCTGTAAACTCCATGGAAGCAGTGTCCACTGAGAAACCACAGAAACTGGTGGGATTTCCTAAATTGGGGCAAATGGGTATTTTGTATATTTGAGAGGTACTGAAGATAAAAGTCCCTGTATTTCCGTGGTTTTGAAAAAAATGGTTATAAACTGCTCTGTTTGAAGTGATTAAATTTGGACTGGCTGTGCTTAAAAAAAATGTTGGTGGGAAGAAGTCCTGAAAAGCAGCTGAGCACCCAATTCTAGACTCCTTTGCAACTTCTGTTACAAAGAGGGCAGTGGCCTGTCTCCTTGGGGTCTGTATCCATGGATCCAACCAAATGCAGATTAAAATACTGAGGATAAACTGTAACTGTGCTGGACATATACTGAACAATACAGTGTATCAATGATTTATGTCGTGTTTATATTGTGTGGGGCATTACAAGGAGCCCGGGGGTGGTGTGAGGTGCATGGGAGTAGGTGTAGGTTATAAGCAAACACTCAGGCAATGCACATACCAAAGACGTGGCCATCTGCTGCTGTGGTGTTCTCATCAGAGCTTTATCCAGACTCCCATAGAGACCGGGGGAGGATGGCACATGCTGGCTTTAACTCAGATACACCAGGATGTGCATCCTAACAAGCCTTCCGGTCACTTAGGTGAGTCCTTGGATCCACTTTTTATGTGATTTGTGTCTCACTTAATCATCAGCAAGTGGGGTTATACACTTTTCCTCCATGTTTGTTTGATACTTTTGTTAAGAATAAAATGGAAAACATGTATAGCTTGTGATGTAACAAGTACTTAGTAGTGACATTTTCCAATAGAAACATTTTTCAATTATGATAATCATTTTTAGTGTCTAGACCAGTTTTATTGGATATTACAGAAAAGTGAATGATGTATAAGTAAGGAGAATTACCACAAATGTGAACACCTGGACAGTCTCGATCGAATGAAGATACGGAGTATTTCCACACACAGCAGCCCATTCCACACCCCCAGGCAACTGTCTTTGTCTTCCCACAAGGAAGCCCTCTCTTAATGCCAACACTCAAGGTTCCTACTTATGTTTTATGCACATAAAATCATAGCATGCCTGCATTTTAAGCTCTCTGTTATATTTGTCACGATGGTCCATGTCACCAGAGAGGCTGTGATTTTTTAATTTCCACTGCAGAAATAGCCCACAATTTTCTACCCAATCTGTTCCTAGTGGACATATAGGCTGGAGATGCATCAACAATGCTGCTATGAATATTTTGTGTGCCAGCCTGCCTGGCTTTTAATGAGACATTACTTACGTGACCAGCATGGAACATAGGATTCATTTTATATTATTAAAACCTTTGCAGTTCTAAGATATGGACTGCTTCCTAAAAGCTTTTCAAGAAACTATTCTATGAGGGTTTATTATTGGTCTCATTAAGTTGTCCCACACTTAAGTGAGACATCACTGAGAAAGAGGGTAGGTGGTGGGAGTGCTTAAGACTAAAAGGTAAGCAGACAGATTCTGCAGAGGCTGCCTAGGCCCTAATGGAAAACCAGGCAGGACCAAAATAGTCCTGGACATTTCATGGAGCTCGCTGAGGAGCGGAAAGCCATCTGGGACCTAAAGAGTTACGGCCACACCTCCTTCTCTTTCCTCGGCGCACCAGCTTGAAAGATTTTAGTGCAAAATAAGGTTCAGTTCAAAGGCTAGCAAAGCAGTTCTCACATTTTATTGTTTGAAGAGGAACAGTCTAGCTTGTAAAAAAAATTTTCAGGAGAGAGAGTCTAAATTTTTTAAACAATACATTTTCAGTGAAAAATACCTTAAATCTTAGCACAAAGTAAAATACCTTAAATCTTGGCATTGCGTGATGCCGCTTCTATGGATTACATTTCACCGAGAGTCTGAGCCTCAGGGGTCTGTGATCCACAAAGTGTGCACGATATAAATAAAAGATGCTTCTCATCTCAGGAGTGGCTATGAGGGTTGAGGGCAGAGACGCAGCCAGCTGTGGGGGATGGCACACAGATGAGGGAGGACAGCAGAATGGAGCCTGGCCCCCACAAAGTGCTTCCTCTTGGCCAGAGAGCTTCTTCCTGGCCAGGTTCTCAGAACAACACGGGGAACTTGTTGCTTTGGTTGCTGAACTGATGACAAGACATCAGGTCGTTATAGTGATGACCATGAACAGATCTCTCATGGCAGAAGTTGCAACAGTCATATGATCCTGACTCTGAAAGTTGTTCCCTTATCATCTTTCTATTTATGAACTGTGGCACTTCTACTCTTAGGCAAAATGATGGTGTTGGATTAGCACCCAGAACCATGATTGTATACCCAATTCTGTCATCACCTAACTATGTGAAGTCTTCACATACACTCAAATTCTTCATTTATCAAAAAAAAGTGTAAGGATAATTAACATCCTAAAATCTAAAAATCCTCACAATTCTCTCCAATTTGGGATTAAGTAGAAAGGGCTTTGTGAAGTTAAAAGTGGTTTTTAAAAATAGATATTAATTTCAAATCTAAATAACTCAAATTTGATACTAATAAAATGTATTCAAGGGATTTTCTCACTGACAGATTTATAGAACTACACATGACTCATTTACTGTATGATCAGTAATGTCATTTTCAGAATTAATATTAAAATTTATTTTCTAAAGAACATGTATTCTTGAACAGGTTTAAGAAAACAGGAATTTGTGCCCCTTCTATATTTGCAATGTTTTAAAAAATTTATGTAGCTAAATGATATTTGAAATCGTACTGTTTGGCTTAATGTAGATTTTCATGGGATTTCCCTAGAAGGGAGAGAGAAGTATTATGTAGAAAATAGAACTCAGTGACACTAGTTTAAGTACTTAATTCCCCCAAAATACAGCATTTTTTGGAATAAAGAATGCTATGCTACCACTTTAACATTATATCTCTAAATTTTTATCACTTTAAAAGTGTATATACATAGAAAACTCAGAATACTTAATTTAATAATTCAAATTATTTTTCTTTCAGATTCCTCTTAATAAAGTCAATAGCAAGGAAGGCTACGATGTGGACCTTAGCCCAAATTGTGCTGATTTCAATTTTGTTTATTTCACTACCCTTTGAGAGCCATGAGATAGAAAACCTAGGAAAAAAGACAACACAAAGAATTGCAGAAGTTTGGAAAACAAAGGAAAGAGAAGCACATGTAAATTCAAACAAGGAAAACGGAAATGTCTCCATTCCCAAGGTAACTGGTTTCCCTCCTTTGGACCCATCTAATGTAGCGACTTTCACCAACACCTTGACGACAGTCAACTTCTCCAGGGCTCCAAGATCCACAGCCAGGTTTTCCACAACCCCTCCCTTGATTCACAGCTTTGTTTCCAAACTGCCTTGGAACTCATCTCTAGCAGAGGAGAATCTGTCACCTGTCTCAGCACACCCCGATTCTACACAGGCTGTCTCATCGGAAGACTCCAGTCTGGACAATGGCACCATGTACGTTCCTGACAACAGTTCCACTGCTACAAGATTCCCGCCCCCAGTGCCCACCCCCAAATCTGTGACCCCCTTGACAGCGGAACCCACCGCATGGCCTACCACAGATGGCGACAGCTTCGCTGGCTTCACTCCCTATCAAGAAAAAACAACTCTACAGCCCACCTTCCAATTCACCAACGACTCGAAACTCTCTCCAAGTACAGCAGACCCCCCTGAAGGTAAATATAAATGGATTGAACTTTCCTTTCATGTGGAATTGAATCTCCAAGTAAGTCAGGGAGATTAAATCTAAGGATTGGGTCATTCTAGAAAAATAGAGAGTGCAATAGTACAGGTGATTCTTACTTATTTGGAAAGGAATGATTAAATTTAATGGAGATAATGAAGTACTTTCAAGGCTTGAGCATATGCTAAGCATTATCATAGAATGTGAAGAGACGGGGGAAATGAGAAGAAGGTAAACTCAAGAAAAGATGGAGGTGGGCTAATGGTATAGATTTGGTGATGATATAGATCATTAGGTAACAATGTTTCCCTAATCTTAGACTACATAAGATTTCACGTGCTTATAGAACTACTACGAAGATAAACTTTAAAATTATACGTATGTGAGTTTTGAAAGACTACAAAATGAATGAATTTATAAATCACCTGAAACCAGACAGGAATCACAAGACAATAAAAGAACACTGCTATTAAAAAGTTATTTGGACAAGCTCAATGAAAGAAAATACTCCTTAATTTTTAGTTTAAACCTAGTGAAAATTATTTAAGTGGAATTTAGCTATATCACAAATTTATTATATTGACATTGGAATGTTTCATTTGAGGTTTATGTCAAACTTTGAAACATGAAATGAGAATGATATCCAAGGTTTAACAATTCATTGCTTATGCTTTATTTTTTCTAGTCTAGCTATATTTTGGTATACTTGAAGTGGTTAAAAAAAACCCTCTCTCTCCCATGAACTTATTGCCCTCCAATGCATAAACCTAGAGAGTATATTAAATTTGTAAAAACTAAATCATATTCACTAATTGCTACTTGAAAGTTACTGCTTTTGTACAAGAAATGTTTTAATTTCTTACAGCACTAAAACCAACATATTTTATACCTTTATTTTAGTTACAACTTTCACCCATCCTGTCATTTGTATACACTGTGATATTCCATTAAAAAGAACTTTTAAAAAATATTTTCTCTCTCCTCTGTAGAACCAACCCCACAGATAGATAATTTACTCTTATCACTACTTTTTCTAAAAATGGTTAAGTTTGCTTCTCTTTCATAGTATCAATTTTATGTATATCCATGTGAATGATTTTCTTAGAAGAGGAGTTTTATATAGAATTAGAGCCCCTCAAAGAATCCTTATCTAATTGTGAGTTCAAAGAATATCAAGTAGTTTATTGATACTCAGTAAAGAACACATACAGTACTATTTTAGACACCCCCAGACTCAGTCCTTGATGTACAAGGCATTGAGAGCATCTTGCCTCGGCCTACTGTTTTGTTTTGGTATTTGAAAATATCCCATATCATATATATTGCTTTTTCCATACAATGGTTTCTGTTGGGGAGTTTGCAGATTTATTTTCTATTACCCTTATTAGCTTTTTAATCTTAAATTCTTTATAGAAACAAACTCAAAGTTCACATCATCATTAAATTTTATCAGGGATTTGGGGGTTATGAAAAACCTAATGAATCCACTGAAAGTAGATGTAAATACAGAACACACTTGGCCTTTCAGTGTCAGCGATATTAATAGGTAGACAGTTGTTAGTTGTAAAGCTAAGACTTAGACGTATTTCAGTGAAATTACAAAGCACTGTGGCTTGCTCTCATGCCTCTGTGTGTGCGTCACATATACACAAATACACACTGTCACTGGTATCTAACGTTGAAAACCACTGAACATTCTTTGGTCTATAGAGAGCCCATGTGTATTCCTTTTTGTTTTTTGAACAGTTATTTTCTATGTCTTAACTGTAAATGTATTTGTTCCCCAGAGAACAGAAATACCGGAGTGGTGTTTGGGGCCATTTTAGGGGCTATTCTGGGTGTGTCCCTGCTTAGTCTTGTTGGCTACTTGTTGTGTGGAAAAAGGAAAACAGATTCATTTTCCCATCGGCGACTTTACGACGACAGAAACGAACCAGGTAATAACTATTTCAGACCTTCAGCTGGGCACGGTGATTTTGCTTAAGAGAGAATCGTGTGCTTAGAAGGGATTCCTGGGACAGAAAAAACCTAGAGATTTACCAAAATAATTCTGGATCTGTGAGTGAAAATTTAAAACTACTGTACTTTTCACTGTTGCTCTTTGCATCCAAATTAGTTTCAAAATATAATGACAGAATTCAAACATAAGTATATAATTAGAAGGTAAAATATAAAGAAAAATGACCAGTTTTGCTAACAAGTGATTGCAAAACCATTTCTTGCCATTGTAATATCTCTTGTAGCAAAAATTTGAGCAAAGACTTTCTAACTTGGATGCAATAGAAAGTGCACACACACAGCCAGTCTCCTTACACCACCTGGAGAGTCTCAAATACACCGAGGAGCTAAAAGGGGCACATTTGCACACATAAAATGATGATGCATCTTAAATCAGGAATTTTCCACTCATATAATGGAAAAGACCAATCAGAATATCTATATATGAGAGATACATATGTTAAAAATAAAGCTGTAGGTGGGCCAGGGATTTAGCTCAGTGGTTCCACCGCCTGCCTCGCAAGTATAAGGTTCTGAGTTCAATCCCTGGTACCAAAAAATAAAAAAAATAAAAAAATAAATCTGTAGGTTTGACTTGTAGAAAGATAAAAAGAACAGAAGTGAAATTACTTCAGATGCTTGACTCATTTCCTTTACACTTCAGGGAAAAATCCATTTTCTTTTTAGACCACCAATATTCCCACAATTAACAATAAGTTAACTGTCCATGTTGAGTCCCATGGATAAAGAAAGTCTCATCGAGTTTTGGTAAGTTTATGACTAATACATTACTAATATTCATTACCAAATCCTTTAATTGTAAATTTAACAGAACTCTAGTTATAACTTTCTAGCAATTTATACAAAACAAAAAATGACACTTGTCAAAATTAAAAGATAACTACTTTCCTAACAACAGTGGTGTCTAAACGTGTTAACCTTGAGAACTTTGTCTAACATGTATCATGCAAATACTCAGATGATCAAATGGATATATTCTAAGCAGCCACAGTTGATTGATAAAAAATAACTCAATGGCAACACCCGCCTTACATTTCAAGATTGCACTGGAACATCGCTCCCAAACACCTCAGCTTCCTGGGAGCCTAGTCTGGAAAGAGGTAGCTTAAGAAATAAGGGGGCAAACATATGATACCCAACTGAATATTATTAAATTACCACTCTAATTCGCTATTAGTCTTTGCTTGTAATAACAAAATATCTGGGGCATGGCCAGAGTTCCTTTGAAAATGAATTCAAGATACGTAAGAAAATAGCTACTTATTAATTGGAAAGTTAAAAAAATATTGAGCAAATCCTAAGTGCACGCCAACTTGGATCTATTAGGACACACATTTTCAAGATCTATTTTCTACCTTCTCCGCCTAAAATGGCTTGACAATCAAGAGACTGAGATAACTGGCAGCATAATGGCTGTGGTTTTCAATGCCCTTAGTTTTCAAATAATAATTTTTATACTACAAGTTGCAAATCCAGAACATGGTAATTAGTTTTTGGAAACCACACAAGATGAAAAGATCAATGAGATATATTTTGCTACATTTTTCTACAAAGTATTGTAATCTTTTTGTAACGATCTCTCCCCTAGTTCCTTTATTTCACATCTACCAGCAGTAAAATTTTGGAAGTAAAACTGTCCTTTAGTCATAGAAATAAATTTAGCTTGAAACTACTTCTTCAACATTTCAAAATGAATACCCCAAAAGCCCACATAAATGTTATACCTACATACTTATCTGGAATAATTCTATAATCTAGTAATACAATCAGACACCTGAGCATGTGTTTTTCAGACTGTCACTATAAAACAATTTTGTTTGTTTTATTGTATTCTTTAGTTCTGCGATTAGACAACGCCCCAGAACCATACGACATGGGCTTTGGGAGTCCGAGCTACTATAACCCATCTTTGAATGCCTCTTCAGTGCCAGAAAGCAGAGAAAGTGCAGGGGACAGCATTCCTATGGATGACATTCCGCCACTGCGCAGCGCGGTATAAAGCTCGTGCAACAGAGGCTTCGGGCAAGTGCCCATCTGCCTGGCCACTTAGCACACTCTTGTGCAAGGTCACTCTCGTGTGGATTGTGCAAGAACTGTGAGAGCCTGACACTAGTAGCAGAAACACAGAGAGGATAAGTCCTTCCAAAAGTTTCCCTGCTCACAACATTCAGCTGGGCCGAAGCTCCTATTCCATAGATGCAGTTTGCACTGTGCTCTGTTTTTCTCTTAGTGGGAAATGTTTACAGAATCAGGCAAAAGACACTGCCACCATAGCAGTGCCTGATAATTTAATATTGGAAATCCTTCAACAAAAATAGGAAACCCAAAATGTATTTTCACCTCTTCTGAACAAAACCAAGGCAGTAGACTCTTCTTTGTTCCACCTGCACTCCGAGGGCCACACATTAAGATTAGGAAGATTATGAAAATTATGAGAGTGATTTTTTAAAAATATTCACTGAAAGCTAGAAAGAAGATATAGCCCAGAGTTCTATTCCTGGGAAATTAAGCAATAGGAGGGAGAGACTTGTATACTCTATTGAATTTTACTTCTCTGTCCTCAGTACAGACGTGGGCAGCCCAGAAAGTTCTTGCTGTGACAATGACTGCATTCAGCAGCCTCATGCCAGGAAACCTGACTCTAGCCAGGAAAGTAGCACTTTCCTCCTTAGTCTTCCAAGTTCGAAGAACTCCACTTTGCCTCAATATATTTTAAATTTCACTTAATTCTGTGCCTTCAAACTCACTGAGAAATACGTTGAAAACCGGCCAAAGAATATACTCAGAATGTAACTTGTACAGTTCAAAGTTGTTCGGAATAGGATTTATTATATATTAGACATGACTGTTGAATCACATATGGAATATATTCTGCATCTCTAAATATATGAAGCATAAGGAAATAGATGAGTGGAAACATTAAATAAAGAAAGCTTTTGATCCTCACTTTCATAAGTAATAATATAAAGAGCTTAACATGGATTGGACTACGTTTCAGTTTGTCACATGATTTGGGCAGCAAAAGCACACTTCATAGTTTGGGAGATCTAGGCTGTAGTGCTTAGAAGGTTACATAAAGATTAGATTCCCCAAGAAGCAGCAAATGTATACAGAGACAAACAAAGCTTTAATAAAAATGAAAAACTCTTATTACTGAGTTGCCACCTGATGCGCATGTGCGTTTGTGTGCGTAAAGAAACACAGAAATAGCCTTAGCAGATGAGAGCTAGAATGTAGTGAAAGAACACACTTACCCCATATTGCCATAAAAATAGCAAAGAAGACTGTCCCTCCGTTATCAAACAAGTATGTCACCTTAATGGAAAACAACAAACAAAATTAATTATTCTACTGATTATAATGATCCAGTGATTACTACTTGAATTTAGTCACTATGGCTTTTGCCCAATGAAATCACAGTATTGTATGGTTTGTGAGATCCTGCAGCTACTTTCTATGATTTTCCCATGGGGAGAAATGAGGAAACAACTTTTACCTCTTTTCTTATCTTCCCAATTCCCTTTTTATTCCACCTTCACTTTTGCTTAGCAGTTTTCCTCACACTCTGAGGAAATATTTGTGGCTCCCAGTAAACTAAACTACACCATGAGCTGTAAGGAGCTGGCTTTGCAAGTAAGGCATACATAATTAAATTTCCTTTTACCAAAACTTCCATGAATGGGGAATTTGCAAATTGCAGAATTCTGCCACAAGCTAGCACTTTCAATGGGAAAGGCTGTAACCCTTCTCTCTGCATGTGCCATGGGCCCAGGAGTGGCTTCTAAAATGTAATCAATCTCATCTTACATTGTTTTCGGAAGTTCCATACATCACTGGACATATATGATATTATCAACATGTTTTAAATCAGGTATTACCCAAAGCTGCAGGGAGAACAATGTATGGTGATACATTTTCAGAGTTTCAAGGATTGTTTAATTTTAATAAAATTCAAATTTAATAAAATTGAAATTACCTCTGCTTGTTTTCATTTGCAGAATACTCACATTTATAAATTAGTGAGTGAGATTAAACTAATACAGCAAAGAACATAAATGTTTGGCAAGCACACAAACAGTATGGAAACTCCAGCAGTCCTCCCATCCCAGACAGACACATTCTGAGACCCCCGCGGATGCGGAAACTGCAGAGAACAGCTAAGCCTGTATACTCTGTGTTCTTTCCTACACATACCACTTGTGATAAAGATGAATATGTAAGACAGACACAGCAAGAGACCAACAACAATAAAATGGAGCAATTAAAACCACATGGTGTAATACAAGTGACATGAGGTGCTGTCTCTCAGTACACCCTGTTGTGCTGTACTCACCAACCTTGTGATGTTGCAAAATGACACAGCGTCTACACAACCAGAGGAAGGGAAGCACGTGCTAGGGGCCTCGTGAGTAGGGTGGGCTGGCTAATAGGTCTGAGTTGTCAGAACACAAGGACTGTGGCAGAGCTATGGAGATCTGCCAGCTGAGGTGGCTAAGTGACTACTGGGCAGGTGGTGTGTAACACAGGATGCATGGGACAAAGTGGTGATGCACACCTCTGGCTGGACCCAGTGGGACTGCACAAGACTTCAACACATCATTCAAAATGGCATGACATTTAAAACATATCAGTTGTTCATTTCTGGAAATTTCCATTTTAGGGTACAGTCAACTACAGGAAAAGGGAAGTGTGGAAAATAATACATCAAGTAAGTTGAGGGGTGTCGGGGCTACTGTGTAGAGAAAATAGGGGGGCATTTTCAAAGGAAGCTGAGGTGAATTTTGGATTACAGAAGATTATTATAAGGAAAGCTGAAGTGGGATGGAGTCCTTTGTGTCAGTCTGAGGTCCACAGTGTCCTCAAAGCGAGTATTAAATCAATACTATGTGCATTTTAATTGTCAATCTCTGGGACATGCCACAAAACAATAGGTAAAACAAGGAAATACAGGATACATTTTTCTGCAATGTAGCATTGATAGAAATACCACCATAAAAGGATGTGGTCCTTTCACAGGTTTGTGAACGGGTTATAAAATATTCTATGTAGCTCTAAAATCCTGACTATTACGGCTTAGGGTTTCTAAAAATGTTATAAGCATTGGTTTGCAGAACAATCATTATCATACATTATGTACAAGAGAGAAAAGAGCCATAAAGAAATTCTCCTACAGAGTTCATAAAATTACACCCAGTGGGGGTCCAGGCTTTCTGTTTGGGGGGGTCCTACAGAGCCACCTCTGGCTTTGGGCCACTGAAGAGTTGTCTGTTCCCTTAGAGGCAGACCTCATACGGGGGACTACCTGGGGTGTTGGAACAGGGACTTTGCATATGGGGGCTTAAAGGTCACCAGGAAACAATGGCTCTCCCCGGTTCAGAAATAGCTGCAATTGTAGAAAAGTGGCAAACCACAGAGCACATGTAACGGCAATGGCTTTTCATGGACGCGGTTTGACATATTTGATGCAGTATTTTCCTTTAGAACTACTTCTGTTTTTTTCCTTGCTAGATTCATTTTCAAATCTTTCCAGCATTTAACTCAATCAATTTAAACCCTACACTTTGAAAACACATCCATGTGATACAGAGGGCATACATGTGATCTTCATATCGCAGGAGATTGCAGACATGTGATGGGCCATGGAGCTAGAAGAGGGGTCTGGGGAGGCTTCGGACTGTGGCCTACAGGGGTGGCTGTAATAGTTTATCCAGGGGATACTGTGTATTAGGAGAATGAAGTCACAGAGACAAGAGGTTGATTAGAAACCTGTGATGATAGCGTGAGTTCCTAAAGGCTTCATTTAGGGTGATGACATAAGAAAGAGAGGCTAAGTGGGAAAGAAAGACATAAGAAAGAGATGAGACATGGGAGAGAGCGGAGCTCCTGGGACATCCTGGGTAGCTGGAGGGCAGGTGAGGAACTGAGATTTACCCTCTGCCTTATAGGCCAAGAACACTTGCTGTGTTGAAGAAAACGTGTGAAAACTTTCAGAAAAAATTTCCCCAAGCAGCATGCCAGATTCTTCTCAAAGCAAGAAGAAGGTGGTTCTGTTTTAAAACACACTTTTTCAATGAATTATTCTGTTCTAAAAATAGCTAGCCATTATGGTTAGGGGGCCTAGGAATCAGCATTTTCTTTAGCACTGTCCGTGTGAATTGGGACATTTATGAAGAGAGAAGAAAACTGAGCTCAAACAAACACAAATTCCCCTTCATTTGGGATATGGAGTTTGCTGTGGAGTGGGCTGTGACTGTGTATCAGTGAATGTGGCCATTGTCTAAGGTCACATTTCTTCCATGGATGGAGCTTCAAGCCTCTGCTGCCTCTCCTGTAACTACTGGCTTTTCCTCGAAACTGCTTGGCTAAGTTCATAGTAACACAAGGCTCTGGAAACTACTGCTTCCGCCTCATTAAGGCCCCACTCCACCGAGGAGAGCAAGTTTATCTTGGGAAGATTCAACCCTGCAGGCCCTGCTATTACTGAGAACCTGGGCAGCAGGGACTTAGGGACTTGGAATTTACTCTCTCTCTCTCTCTCTCTCTCTCTCTCTCTCTCTCCCCCTCCCCCCATACCCCCATCTCTGGTTTGCTTCGCAGTCCTTAGCTTTTAGGCAGCCTAGAACTAGCATAACCATCTGTATTCATTGCATCTGGGCAGAAGCTACAGCAGACCTGGAAGTGCGCCTGGCTCCTCCTTCCCAGTCGCTTAGACATGCGGGCCTAGGAATCAGAACTGCCGAGGGAGCCTGCTGACATGTGGATTCCAGGCCTCCCCCTTGATGAAGTCATTGGGAATATCAGGATGTAGAGCCCAGGAATCTGCCTTTGAATAAATGTTGTCTGAGGCTCTGATGTATACAGACTACACACAGACTCTTTGGTGGAGTTTCTTAAAGAAGAAACACCTTTCTCTCTTATTCCTGCTCTAGGCAAAACCTCAGTGTGCAGTCCGAATCTCATGCTAGATATGGAATAAATGTTTTTAAACCACCAGACATTTAAAAAACCTAAACAAGAATTATTATGAATAAGGCCAGCTTCAAGGGTGAGTCATTTTTGGAATTACATGTGTACTTTTAAAAGATTTAGTAACTTCTAGATAATTATTTCACTTAAGAGAAAAATCTAGCATCATGGGATTTGACAGCACAGTGTCCACATTTTTAAATGTGTTTATGGGGATCGCTAAATTGCAAAACTTTCTAATTCCTATACTTTGAAGTATTAAAAATAAAAATAGTCACAAAAGGAGATACTAATGTGACCATATACGATTTTTGTCATACGATAGGACTGACTCTTTTTCCATGCAAATCCACCCTTAAATTGTAAGGGGATGCTCATGAATGCACTTTCAAATAAATTATGTCAGATTTGATTTCTTATTGTCACAGTAGTGAAGGATTCTGTGAGGAACTGCAGTGACAATTACTAAATTATGTGGCCATGCGATCATGTGGCAAGGTGAACCTACACTGGTTGGCTTGTTCCTTTTTTTTTTTTTTTGCAGTACTGGGGATCAAACTCAGGACCCTGCGCTTGTGAGGCATGGTGCCGGGGCTAAATCTTGGGCCCTGGCTTGTTCCTCTGACAAAAATCTGCTTCCTTATTTCTGAATGTTCCCATCTAGAGTTATTATACTTTCTTACAAGAAAAAAATGTTTGTTTCCACCCAGTGAAGGAAGAGTTATTCTAGGTTTTTTTTGGTACTGGTTATCGAATTCAGGTCCTTGCACTTGCAGGGGAGGCGGTGGCACCACTGAGCTAAATCCCTGGCCCTGGGTTTGATTCTAGTTTTTAAAGTGCAAAACAAGCAGCTACATTTTGTCTTAGCTAGAGAAACAAATACAAGACATAGTAAATATTGCGTCCAAGTGGATTTTATAGCTTCTATTGTTGCATAAGGAGACAGTTTCCTCTGCAAGCTAACTTTCCATCTTCCTTGTAAGAGTTTTCAAGCCAATTCTTTCTGAGTCGTGCCTGTCCTTATAAGTACTCTCTCCTACCCAGAAAAGGATGCTGGCTTACTGGGTGATGACAAACCTCCTAGATTTAGTGTACATTGTAGAGATTCCTCACAGTATCACTCTGCACAAGTGGGCTCTTCTTATCTTCATTAACTGTTCAGATCATCTTAATATGTTTCATTAGATTTATGCAGGAACAAATGAGAAGTAACAAACATTTGGTTTTTTAGGTTTGGCTAAGGCTGTCATATATTTGGAAAGTCATTAGCTGGGAAAGGAATACACGCTTGCTTATATATCTAGTAACTGACTCCTAGGTTTTGGTAAAAAGTGACAAGAGTCAAGACTGGTGGCACACAACTATAATCCCAGCCTTGGGAAGCTGAGGCAGGAGGACTGCCCTGAGTTCAAGGCCAGCTTGAACTACACAGTGAGATCCTATCTCAAAAAAGAACATACTACTGCCATGAGGAAGTGCTGCTCCCATATTAGATATCCTTGTTTCTAAATCCTCATCATCTTCGTGGAATTTTTAAAGAATTAAAACTAAGCATATATTAAAAATTAAAATATTAACCAAGTAGTGTTTTTCTATGCTATTTGTTCAAGATAAATAATTCAGAAGCTAACTACACTACATTTTGGTCATGGAGTAATGAAATGTGTAGTGATTTGATGTCCAGTCTTGTCAAAATCAATTTTATAGAGATCATCACTTTCAGACCATGTAGGAAAAAAAAGGCTCAATTTTATCCATATATTAAAACAGCTAAAGTGCACAAAATATGTAAAACATTAGATTTTAAGAGTTTGGACATTAAGCAGTTCAGGCCAATCATCCATGAGAGGTGGGAAACAAATGGAGTGAGCACTAGGACTGCCTCAGTTTACCATCCTAAAAGAGCTCCAAAGATGCCGTGAGGGAGAACCCAGGCCAGGCCCGCGTTCGTGTGTGGCAGGAATAGTCTCACGGCTGAAGACAGAACCAGCCAAAAGGAGTGGGCTTGGAGCAGGACCTCCTCCCGCTGCCTGACCGGAAGCTCTCACCCGCTTTGCGCCAGGGAGAACAGGTAGAGCGTGGTTCTGCTGTGGGGAATAGTTCTAGACAGCACCACTGTGGTCCAACTCAATATTTGAAAAGTAAGACCTCCTTCCCCCAAATCAAACTATACTCCAGCTACCAAACCACAGCGAGATACCTCTGGTCACAGTGGAGTTAGAATAAAGAACGGCTGGCCATCCTGAGGCTTGGAGTCTGCATGGACACCGGGCTCTCATCTACCGCTGCAGTAAGAGACAGGGAAGGCTGCGTGTGCGTCTGTCTGCTCACAGCCCTTCTTCTTATAAGCGGTATTGCCATGCGGACAAAGTTTCAGATGGGAGTTTTAAAACAGATTTCTGCGGTTCAGATGTGGTTTGAGTCTCTCCCGGGCCTTAACGTGTTGAAGTTTAATCTTCATTTTGAGGTACGGGGAAGGTGGACACTCAATCCCATTATGGTGCTTTGGAGGAGCAACTCGGAAGTGATTAAGATTAGATTGTGTCATTGGAGTGAAGCCCTTTTGATCGAATCATATTGAATTTGTAAGAAGAGGGGGCGTGACCAGACAGATGCACCTGCCCTCCCGGTCCTCGGCATGGGATTCTGCAAACCTCTTTGGGACTTTTCCAGGAAGAAGGTTGTCCACAGCTAAGACACCTGGCCCTGGCACCTCCAGAACTTTAAGCCAGAGCACACTTCTTTTGTTAATAAAATAGCCTGCCTCAGATATTTCATAACCATAATGGAAATGGACTAATACAAAGGTTAACCATTTATTTAGCATCTGTTCCTCCTATTCTTTCTAGTGACTTATCCAGGAAGTAATAGCATTTGTCTCTAGGAAGACTTGCAGGTAAACATGCACAGAAGTTTTTCTTGAAATAGGCAATGATTTGAAACAATCCCAGAGTTTGCTAATAAACTCTGACACAGATGTATTGGGGTAATACTCAGCAACGAAGAGGAATGACTTATTGATAAATGCCACAATATGGGTGAATTTCAAAATAATTATGCTGAGCATAAGAAGCCAAAAAGGCATCCTGTAAAATTCCATGTCCATAAGAGTCTAGGAAATGCAAACTTATCTATAATGGCATGGAGAAGTTAGCTACCTGAGCACAGAGAATGGCTCAGGGAGGCCTGGGAGGCATGAGCACATGATCACAGGCTTTCGGAGGTGACAGACAAGTTCTTCATGTTGATGTTGGCATGGTTTCACAGGCACATGCATTTAACAAAATGCTTGTGTCACATTGTATGCTTCAAATATTTGCCTTCAACTGCATGAAAACTTTTATAAATAAAAGGTAATCATTATATAACTCAGTATTTCTTAAATTTGTAGGAATATTGAATAACTTGGGACATTTTAGAATATGCTCATATCTCGGTTCTACACCTACAGACTCCAATTTAATTGATCTGGGATATGGTCTGACTTTCAAGAATTAAAAATACACCTCTTCAATGAGTACAGTTTGATAATATTTTTGGTATGTTGTTTCATTTTTGCTGTACAATTAGAAGGATTTTACTCTCATGAGTCTTTCTGGAAGATACAATTGTAATCATCAGCATGAAAAACAAATGTTCTAAAAATAGCCTAGATATGATTGCAAGTTGAAGTCTGTGTCTACGGTAGCAATGATCAATTATAAACACAAAGGAAGACAAAGATACTCAAAGAAGAGTGTACTATCATCATAGTTTTGGCAGACTGACTTTTTTCAGTTGTTAGTGACACTAATGGTTGTTAGAACTGTTGGGAATGTTCAATTTTGGTGGAAAGCTGTGCACTGGAGGACTTCTTATGCCTGCTCCTAGGAAACAGTAGAGTCTGGGGAGGAGATACTCACCTTGGCATAGATACAGCTGTCGTTGAGCCTCTGCAGTGAGCAATTCTTGTCACATAGAGGGCACATGAAGACCTCCGTGGCTTTGCAGATCTCCTGGCTTGAGAAATCAGATAACAGAAATCATGAGGCTCTGTACTGACAGAATCACTCACCTCACCAGCAAACCCTGCTGGAAGCAGCCAGAGCAAGAGAAAAAGGAGAAGAAACAGAAATGGTGCAGGGTAGTGGGCTGGCTGGGAAGCACTTAGACTATAGCTTCCATGCCAGCACTTTGGGATATTTGTGATATGAAGGTTGGTGTTTGCTTCTTTGATTTTAGAAACCTCTGTCTCGACAATGAAATGGTATTAGATCATATTGTACACTTGTGTGACACTTGGGGAATGTTTAAAAATAAAGACACTTTTATACATGATCTCATGGCGCTCAGGACTATCTTGTGCACCAAAGCTGGGGAGTTTTAACTGAGTTCATAGGCTTAGAAGGGGCTGAGCTGGAATTGACCCTGACTATTCTGACTTCTGAAGACCACATACGATTCATCATTCATCATGCATGTTGTGGTACATGACATTGGTGCAGAATGTTCACTGGAAATTAAAGGGGTTGGTGTGTGTGTGTGTTTATGTGTGTTTATGACTCCTTGACAAAGTCCGCCAGGTTTGCATGACATAGTTTCTATTTAATTAAAAGCATCCACAATTATAGTATAACTTTATGATTATATCTCTTCAGTTTTATGCCCACTGCTATTACTGGGTTTTGGGGTGCTGGGGTTTCCTCCTAGAGTTGGTTTCTAGGTTCCTTCTGTCATGAATAAAGAATCAGTTAAGACAAGCACAAGAAGTAGCAATGTTTTATATTCACTAAAAGTAGGAAGAGAAACATGATCTTCAGAGAGAGTGTGGACCAATTCAAAGTAGGAAAAGAAGTGGGCTCCACAGGGTGGAGGTGGATCACTGTGAGAGAGCACAGTAGTCCAGGGCTCAGAGGCACTGCCTTCCTCAGGCTGCTGTCAGATCTTGACTGTCCTATTAAAAACCTGCTTGAGATCTCATGAGAAGAACAGAAGACAGCATTCTCTGGGCATGCGTCTTAGAACTTCCAGATTTACAGGTCACATCCACTTTCCCAGCCAGCTGCCCATGCCCTAATCACCTGCCTCGCTGCCTTGTAAAAATGTTGGCATACATTAGAGATGGCTTTGAAAGGAGAGTTGGGACTCAACAACAATTCCTGCATAACCCCACAGAGTGACAGTTCACAGCAACCTGCTTTAGGATATTTTGTGTCTTTATCTGCTGTACAAGCTCTTTCCTACTTAGTATCTCGAGCAAGTTTTCTTTAAATGAATCTGCTCTAAAAATACAGAAAGGAATTCAAAGGCTTTACGGAATCTGCTTGAAAATGCAACTGTTAATGCAATTTTAACTGACAATGCTTGCAGCAAGATTTACTATTTTAAAAAGTGCATACAATCAAAGCCAAAAAGAATGCATGTGTATTTCAAGTGTGCGATGTATATAACTTCAAGCCAAAGGGAGAAAAAACACTATTGAGGATACCATAGAACACTAAATGGTTTGTAGTGGTAAAGTTGCTAACTCTTTACTCAACTTCCATTAATGGTAACTGTCTCCATTAAGCAAAGTAAAACAATGTTCATTTAAGAGACTTTCTAGAGGTCACAGAACAAGCAAGAGCTACTTCAGGAACCCAATTTTAGGTTTTGTCTGATTATAGACCCAGTCTCCATCACCTGTAACATAGCTAAAGGAGGGGTAAAGTTCATTTCACATTGAAAAACAAGTTTTCTAGGGACAGTTTACTTATGATGCAGGTGATGGAAAGGCTCTTACATATACTACACTTCCTCTGCTTTCACATGGAGCATTTTTTTTGTAATCAATATATCCATAAAAAGTAGAATGAAGTATGCAGAACATAGATTTTAAACACCTAAAAGAAAGCAGAGATTACATCTCCACTTAACAAACTAGTAATATCCAGAAGCAACAAGAATTAACATAGTTGTTGAAATTTTAATTAAAATGGGCTTCCTATCATAATTTACCATGGTTTCATAAATGCCATAGTTTGACCTGCATAAATTTCACACAGAAAGTCTACTTGAGCTGGCTTATCCTACATCATCTTTCCAACCTACCAAATGGCCAGACAAAAGCCCAGATTTACCAGGGCATGAGGACCAGAATTTCACCATTAGGATGGATCATAGTTTTACTGCCATAGTCATTAAATAGATTTTCTGTCAATTGCTCAAAGCTTAACATGACACATAGCATCAACAATATAAAACAATTATTTCTGAGAACCTTTATTTTAAGACCTAGAGTAAAGTATTTGAGAGTGTCACAGGTTTTTGTTTTTGTTTTGTTTGTTTTTTTACCTAATCACTAGAGGGAGAGAGAGGTTCCATTGTCTTTCTTTCTTTCTTTTTCTTTTTTTTTTCTTCTTTCTTTCTTTCTTTCTTTCTTTCTTTCTTTCTTTCTTTCTTTCTTTCTTTTCTTTCTTTCTTTCTTTCTTTCTT